GTTGCTTCAGAGATGTTCATTTCAAAGCAAATGCATGGAATGTTTTCAGACTGCACAATAAAAGTTGGTATTACAGACTCTCGAGAGTGCTCTGTCTTTATTGTAAGTCATTTCACAAAAACAGGAAATGCCAGCAGCGCAGATGCACTGATGTCATAACATTTAGTGGTATAACAAATATACAAATTCCTCCTTTAGGAAATGCAGCGCTATCACAGTAGAAAAATTAATACCAAGCAGAAGATCCACACTGAAAATTGTGCTCAGAGCTCTGTTTAATATCAATTTAATTAATCAAACAAGCCTGCGTTTTGTGAAATGGGCGCCTTTATGATAAATCCATAGCTGTAGCTGTATGAAGCATTTTAATTTCTCATTGTTTTGGTTTATTCTTCAGGTGTTTGTGTGTCAATGATTTGTTTTGTACTGTTTAGCAGGTACTCTATGTACAATCACCTGTTTCTGAAGGTATTTGAGACCAGAGGGGTAAAAAGCAGGATGAATAGTGGAATTTTACAAAACTCTCAACAGCACAGATTACTTACTTTTGTCATTTAAATAATAAAAATCTATTTTTTTCACTGTTATCATAAAAACACACACAGAAAAGTAAAATTTGAGTCAATAAACATAGTTAAATACATGCAATCTTTGGCGGCCCCCAGTCGTCATGAAGCATGCGGCTTTGTTGGGGATTTGATAATTTAAAATATACTTCATGGAGCAGAAACTACTAGCTTTAACTTTCTGTTTTTTCCACCCAGTCTTAAGTATCCTGCATCCTGCTGGAGCAGCTGATAACAGAATAGACGAGCCGGTTTTACTCCTTTAAAAACACAAAATGAAATGTGTATGTCTCTTAGATAAGAATATTTATTTGAACGCTAAATGGTGACTACAGATTTTTCAAACACAGGAGAAGGCTGTATCGCTGTAGACACACTCAGGCAGGATAACAGGTTTGAAAAATGGGATTTGACTTTCTGTCTCTTTGACTGTCTCTTTCACTGTATGTATAGATTACATTGCATTGATCAATAAGAGTTGTCACCATGGATAGATGTTTTCCTTCCTCTTTTCTTTCCATAACTGGAAATTGGAGCTAATGAAGTGCTCTGGATTCAGTGAGTTGTTGGCCTCATTTTGGGGCCCATTATATTTAATCCTTGTTTTGAGAATTAAGTATGCTGAATTGATCATACCTAATTCATATGTGCCACTGCATGGAATAACAACTATTTATGAGTTACTTTGACACTGAAGAAGACCTAAAACATGGTGACTCAGCTAAGTGCTGTGAGTGGGGTTTAAGAGTTTTTTAGACATTTATTTAGCACTGATAATTATATACTTGAAAAAGTGTCAGTCAGTCAGTATCTAAAATGATCTGTATCATGTCTGCATTCAGATTTAACTAAATAACGACCATTAAAACATAAAAACAAAAACAAAACATTCGTCCAGTTATGTAATGGCGAAGTTTCGCCTTCGTCTTCGACTCCAAACAAACACACTTTCTTTTTCAGGTGTTCATGTTCATCATATTTTTAACTCTATACCACAGACTGTGTATTAAAGTTGGACGCAGTCACTGTGAGATCACTGATGTGCTTGTAGCGTTTTGAAAGCTCATTGTTGATCTTTTTTTTGAGTCAGATGTCACCACATTTAGACAAGAATGAACCAATATGGACACATTCAAACACTATAATGGTGCAATGTAGCTGACTAATAAGATCCCAGACTTTCACTTGACAAACTGAAGCACAAACTTTTTTACTTTACCACACAGCAAGCCATTATTTATGGTTATTCCATTAAAAATGCTCCAAAAGACACCAACATGATCAGGAGGTCCAGTTCAGTGACTGCTGTCCCCCATACTTACTTTCACTATGTAAGTAGGCGTAGAGGAGAACAGTCACACGAGAGAGCAGCTACAGTGTCATATGACCACTGCATGAACTGTTGTTTTTGGCCGCTTGATTGAAAAAGAGGAGCAGAGAAGGACATTTGTAAGAATAGTGGATTTAAAAGTTGATTTTTATCTCCATTACAGGCAAAAGCTAGTATTAAACTGAATAGTGGAACAATAACTTAATAACGATAAGGATGCACAAACAATTCAAACGCTGGAAAGCTTTCTAACCAATACTAGATGGCATAGATTCAAAAAGGTGTTGGAATCATTCCTCAGAGATTTCGGTAACAGATTTACATGATAGCGTTACAGAGTTGCTGCATATTTATTGAGTGCACATCCATAAGGTGAACCTCCCGTTCCAACACATCCCCAAAGATGCTCTATTGGATTGAGATCTGGTGACTGTGATGGCTATTTGAGTAGAGTAAACTCACTGTTGTGTTCAAGAAACAAGTTTGAGATGATTTGAACTTCGTGACATGTTTGAAGCAGCCATCAGAAGATGTGTTCACTGTGGCCATAAAGGATTGGACATGGTCAGCAACAATACTCAGGTAGATTATGACATTTAAACTTCCATTGTTTTCATTCAAATTCTGTTGTTTTCATTCAAATTTTGTTCTGTTCATTCTAATTCCGTTCTTTTCATTGAAATTCCGTTGTTTTCATTCAAATGCTTTTGTTTTCATTCTAATTCTACTCTTTTTCTTCAAATTCTATTGTTTGTTTTAGAATTCTGTTGCTTTCATTCAAACTCTGTTCTATACATTCTAATTCCATTGTTTTCATTCAAATTCCATTGTTTTGATTCTAATTCCGTTCTTTGTTTTAAACTTCCATTGTTTTCATTCAAATTCCATTGTTTTGATTCTAATTCCGTTGTTTTCATTCAAATGCTTTTGTTTTCATTCTAATTCTACTCTTTTTATTCAAATTCTATTGTTTGTTTTAGAATTCTGTTGCTTTCATTCAAACGCTGTTCTATACATTCTAATTCTGTTGTTTGTTTTAAGTTCTTAGTTGGTATTAAGCGGCCCAGAGTGTGGCAAAAACATATCCCCACACTATTACACCACCACTGCCAGCCTGAACCTCTGGACGGGCAGGATGAACACTTTAATGGCAGTTTCTGACACTACCATCGGAATGTTGCAGCACAACGAAGACTTATCAGACCAGTCAACATTTCTCCAGTATTCTTTCATTTTGGTGAGCCTCAGTTTCCTGTTCTTAGCTGACAGGAGCGGCAAAGTAGACAACCATGCCAAGCTGATGTGCCATGTCTTCTTGACCATGTCTAGATACTTAATTGCACTGATTTGCTGCCATGTGATTGGCTGATTAGGTATCTGTGTTGATTAGCACATGTCAGGTGAAATCAATGACTATACAGTCACTATGACTAAACCAAAACTATTGTGCAGTACAGTAGATGGTAGAATCAGCAGTTAACATTAAAACTGTTGTTTAATATTCCACTTGGTTGCAGTAGATCTACATAGATGTGCATGTTGACTAGTATGACTATATTTGAGTAAATATTTGAAATACTGTTAGTGTCTGAAAAGTAGAGATATCAGGGAAATGATGTGAAGCAAAATGATCGCTGCACTGTCGCCATTATCTCGAGTTATTTTATGCTGCACAAAATAAAAATGCAAAAATGAAAAACATAGAGTAACTTGTAGCCTTTTGTTCTTGTTGGTGTCGGTTTCACCAGTGCTGCTGGAGCTGGCCTGCTGATGCTCAGATGCAGAGCAGGTGTGGGTGGTGCCACTGCTGTCTCTAACACACACACACACACACACACACACACACACACACACACACACACACACACACACACACACACACACACACACACACACACACACACACACACTCACTCCCCACTCCCTGCTGAGAGGGTTCACACAGTTGTAATTGCACTCCTGCCAGAGCTATAGGAAATGGGGTGGCTGCGGGCAGAATCAGAGGAGAGCCTCGCAGCAGGTGGCAGGGAGCTGAGCTCAGAAGGGAGCTTGAAATCAGCCAACCAAAGGCCACTGTGGAGCCTAATTACACACTGAACATGAATAATGATGAATCTGTGCTCTGGTGGTGCTTTGTCCGAAATATGCAGCACTCATCGCCCAATCAGCTCAAGTCTGTAGCAATAGTGGTGCCTTACCACTGTTTGTAGATCTCTCACAATGACGGATGGCCTATAGCATGGACCACATACAGACTCTATGGCTGAAAAAGCTATAGTTTGTACACGTGTGGGCATTTCATTGTGTAGCAAATGTGCAGTTTAATTTGCAGTTTTTGTATGAGAGCAGGGAGTCTTTTTTTTTTTTTTATCACTGATTACTGTGACATAAGTCCCCCATAGATCTGCACAACCATGCACACATACACAGAAGTCTACCTTTGAACTGAGCTTTTGACAGGTTGCATTTCTCCTGGTTTCCTCTTGTTGTTCAATCAGGAATAATGATGAAATGCAAATGGAGCTCCCCTGAGAGCACAGCCTCCCATGCACACTCCTGAAGAAGAATATTCTGTAGGTGTGGAGGAAAAAAAAACGAAACTGTAATTGTTTTTATGAAGATAAATGAGGAAAGAGGCTGTGATTGAAGCCGCAGGAGTTTGAGGAGCTGTCCAGATGCTGAAGGAGCAACAAACAGCCTTCCAGTGAGAAATAAAAGCTGGTATCTCTGAAGGGACCCGTGTCCTTTTAACACTTGTCTTTGAACATTTTACTTTGGGTTTAATTTTCAAGCAGGGGTTTAATTTTTAGAACAGCCAAACAACCGAAACAAAAAGGGAAATTTCACAATATATATATATATATGTATGTATATATGTATGTATATATATAAATATTTATATACACTATAGATTTCGAGGCTATTTGCGCCCTCCGGTGCTTATTTATTTTCTGTAACTCGATTTAAAAAGCAATCTGGACCAGAATAAAAGGCGTCCGCCACCTATCTACAGCTCGAATCTGCAACGAGTGAGAGTGTAGTCGCAGCCCCGCGTGTAGGAGAATGCAGACGGGAGGGGAGGAGTTCACGTCTTTTACTTTTCAAAGCTCCTCTGGCAGAAGAGCTCAGTCTTTGCCTGGAAAACCGCGGAGTTTGGCGCTGAGGCGTCCCGGGCACGTGACCCCCCCCCACCCCTCCTTCAGCCAGATTAATCGCTTCACCGCTGCAGCCCCCGATTAAACTTTCCATGCTGTTGCCCGTCCGACGGACAGCACTTTGGAGGTTTGTGTGGACCGTGTTCTCTCCCGCTCGCTCGCCCGTCCGCCGCGCTCCGGCTCTCCACCCTCGGCTCTCCAGGTTCAAAGGGGCTCAGGCGGCCAGTGGAGCTGGCCCGGGTCTCCAGCACGCATGGAGGGAGACGTTATGGACAAAGTGGAGGCCACGGCAACGGTCCGCGACTTCGACCCCATCAGCGGAAGCATCCCGGCCACCAAAGTGGAGATAACCGTGTCCTGCAGGTGAGTCCATCGGGGTGCTGATGCTGCCCCGTCTGCGTCAGGTTTGGGAAGCTTAGCGCGTCTTTTGGCTACATTTTTTTGTGAGAAGCACTTAAATTGGTAATTTTTTCATTTTATTTTCATTTTTAAGGCGTCATTTACCTTTTTGATGTTTTTACTTTGTTATTTATTGTTTTTTTTTAATAACCCTGCTTAATATTTCCCCATTAAAAAGAAGTATAAACATGCTAAACAACAAAAAACTTTCCAGCCCACCAATAAACCCACAAGCAAAAATTATTTTTAAGCAGTTAAAAAAATATATCATTAGAAATTCACCCAGCGACTAATTAGAACTGCAGTGATGTCCTCCCCCGGTTACAGTGAGCAAAAGATGCTGTGATAGAAACCAGAGCGATGCAAACTTTACGCATATTCCGCCCTAAGATTTGCACTTTGGTGTCTTATTTCCATAAATCAGGTCGGGTACGACGCTGTGTGCTGTGCACGCGCCCAGTCGCGTGCCTCGGGAGATGCCGAGCGACGTGGAGTTATTATTGGCGTGCCCGAGAGGTTTCCCCCGAGGCAGCGTGTCATGTGTCAGCCTCTGCAACTGCTTGTCAGGCTCCCCCGAAACGACTGTAGTTTGTCACCGAGACGTAAAGATGAACACTAAACAGTTTTTTCCTCCCAGCAGCCTTCAGCTGAATCCCAAAGTAGATGCAGCGGGAAAAATACCACGGATGTGACAGGAGCCTGCTCGACTGGGTAGGGTGGGGCAGCGCTGGTTGCAGGTATACGCACAGTATGTACAGTATGATGCTGAGACATATGAGAGCCTAAGCGTGCAGGAGGTGCAATTTCAATGAGAGCTGCTCATAAAATGTGATGTGAATCTGTGTTTCAATGGCCTCCCTCCAGCTCTCATGTTGCCCTGTTTCACAGTATTTAGCTCTTTTCACCTCCCGGCTACATGCATCGTTATGTGCATGTAAATGAAGTAAATAAAACCACAAGGGAGAGATTTATCAGCCAAACACCCCGCTGCCATTGTTTTCTTCCCTCGTCTGCAATATTTACTCAGTGAGTTGCCCGGAAGGAGAATTGACTGTCGATCTTGTTTAAAACTGTGATTTTTAATTTTAAATAAGCTTTGTAATCTTACCTTTGCGAGTTCAACAAACAGCTTAACAAAACCAACAAAGCCGTTAGCATGTAGCTGACCTTTTGTGACATTCTGGATATTAATTAGCCAGATTTCAAAAACGTGTCAGCTGACCTTTATTGGGCGGACAGGTGACGAGATGATGATTGATTTTTGTTTGAGGATGATGAGCCGCATGAAGCCCCGTGGGAGCATTCTGCTGTAGCCCTTGTTTATGCAACAAAAATAGTCAACTGTGTAAAATTGTGGTAAATTCGAGTGTGTGGGAAGATTGCGTTTGAGGCAGACATGGAGCTTAGGGTGGGTTTTATCCAGTGTGGGGCGTTTGGTACGAGTAGCAGCTGGACTTGTGTTGCTTCCCTCTTGGAGCACGCTGTTGTTTTTTCCCTGCAGACATCCGAGCTTTAAGCCAGGGCTCTGTTGATGCCCCCAGGCTCTGATCTGCAGCGCCCTTGTCATTAATTTCTCTCCAAACACTAGCTCTTGGACTCAGTTTGATGGAGAAGGAAAATTTATTCCTTTTTTCACTGGGGCCTTGAAGCATCGTCTGCTTTAGATGCAAAGGCTTCAGTTGCTGTCTGTTCTTCTTTGTGACTTGCGGGGATTGCTGCAGTCTGACCTCTGACAGCTGCTTCAGTGGACATCTCAAAAGTTGAACTCATGCAGAATACACACCAATGCACGCAGCTATTCTATCCACTTATCAGGAAGTGTATATTTTATCTATCCACTGCAAGCAAACAGAAACAATTGGTGTTATATGAGGGGAGAAGCCCGGGCTCCACAACTCTGTGTAATTGATTTAGCAAGCCTGAGAGCTCTGAGATTGCAGCGCACATGGAATTGAACTGTGCCGTGCAGCCCTACAGGCATTCTCATAACCCTCTGCCAATATTGCAGCAAGCCCGTCTGACAAACTAGAGGGACTCAGGCAGACAACCGCTTATCAAAACAAGTGCATATCACCGTGATAGCACATTGTTCCCTGTCTATGGCTCTGATTGGCTTTGCTCACAGGTCAACCAGTGAGCCATACCCCGAGCATCTGCTTCTTAGCTGCGAGGACTGCACTCTAACTCAGTGATAAGATGGCTCTTCAAACTCAAGTAGCCTCTTTTCCTACATCTGCCTTTTATCAAACACAGTCAAGTGAATACATTTTACTGGATTAGGACCAGTTGTCCCCTGGTGTTTTTTACAAGTTGACCCCTCCAAGTCTTATGTGGCAGTAATAAATGTGTTGATTAGCTAATATTAAAGCAGCTCTGGTGAATGTTTTTTAAGTTGTTCGTGTGGTTTGCTTTAATTATGAGCAAAGGAGTAAATGTGAATCCTCGTGGACTGCAGAATGTGCCCTCTCTATATCTCAGCTTAGCAGGCTGTCTCAGAGTTTCCATGTACAATGACTTTAGGGAAACTGGGGCTTTAACTTTGTGGTTCCACTTTTAGGAATGAATGCTGGAAGAAATTTGCACACAGACAAAAAAAGCAAATAAAATCCCCCCCCCCTTCCGAAGAGCCGCTAAAGGCTTGACACGCTGAACTTTATTTAAGGAAGATTTTTTACCCCCAGTTTCTTGTTTGCTCATCAGAATGTGCATATAAATCCAGTAATGATTTGTAAATGTTGTGTTTACCCTTTACGCTTATGTGACCGTAACAAGGGAGGGGAATCATTCTGATAAGCTCGACAAGCCTGACAAAGGTTTACAACCCTTATCAGAACACAGCGACGGAGGGGTGGTGGTGGGGATCCTGCTTCTGAATGATTACTTTTTTGGCATCGCATTTTTTTATATAGTTAGAAATGACTGAATAATAAAACTATTTTGTTAAAACAAAAAAAATATGCACTTGTGATTTACTGCGCACTGTTCACATGCGTGTGTTTTCAAGGCGGGATATGGAAACAGCAAGGATGCTAGAGTGGTATCAAGGTCATTTTTTAAAATACTTAATCAAAAGTTTCTTGCTATAAACTGAACATTTGGCTTCGTTTGTTATGCTTATATGAAAGCAAGTTGTGTAACAAAGTTGCACGAATGAGGGCTTTCATGTGGCTGTTTCAGAGGTGTAAACTCCTTTTTCTGATTGTTTTAGCACAATAGACCAATGGCACCACCAAGCAGAAGGACAAATGTTTATTAGTTATTTCCTTGCCATTTGCCAACATAGGCCAATTCTAGAAATTTACTGCTCCTCTTCGGCTTGTCAAAGCACACCCAGGTAGGTGATTACAAGTAAAACTGGGTGACAGAGCTGCCTTCCCTTTCCACTGTGCTCCACCTCCCACCTGACAGCTTGAACACAAACTTTATCAGCCCCCTTCACCTATTTCACAAAGACAAAGACACTACAAGCTCGTCCATCCCCTTCTGTTCCCTGCTGTTGCTTTAGTGCCTCCCTGTAACCATTCATTTGCTGTCATAGATTCGTTAGAGTAGCAATGCCTTCAATCGATGCATTCCATAGCTGGAGGGAGGGGGGGTAACTCATCCGTGCCACTCATCACCCGAGGGATTCATTACCTGTTGAAACACACAGGGACCACATGACTTCCAGCAGTCTTGCGGCAAACCTGTGCAGGAGGGGTTCCCCTGGCGCACAGGGCCACTGATTGCTGTCCCCGCGAGGTCAGTCTGAAGACGTAATGAAATCATCAGGACGATTAGGATGTTTGGTGTCACTGCTCGATGCAGCAAGAGCTACTGCTCGAGCAGAGCAATTTGGACTCGAGCTGTGTAACCAACCGTTTGTTTATTTGAATGTGTTGGCCTGGTGTGTAACTTCGCTGCTGTTGTTATGTTAATAGCTCTTATAGCTGCTACTCTCACTCAGTCTTGGATACCCATTTAGTAAAAGCTGTGACCTGGTTTTTCTGGTTGAAAAATGCTTTTGTTTTGCTCTGGCAGGCAGCAAGTTTGAACTGAACCAGTTTGCATTGTGTAAGAACATAAAATATTAATAAAAGATCTCTCTGAGTAAGAGAGAAATTTCAATTTGCAGCGTTTTCCTTGTGCTTTTCATATTGTGATCTGGGTTAAGACTGACCTGAGGCAAGCTTGCAGCTTTTATCTCACTGGATGGCTTGTGTTTGTGGATGATGTGTCACATCTGTTTTGGTGATCAAGGCTAAACGACACCAGGGTGCCAAGAGGAGGCAGATTTTAATTTTTTTTTTTACTCCCCATTTTTGTGGATGTTACATTGCAGCAGACGAGTCTCACAGGCCGATGAAGCGGATAATTATGCATGAACCCCTGACATAGTGAAAATGAATTTGGATCCCAGACACTTGGCTTGTGGTGGTGTCGGTGTTATTAATATATTCTCATTTGGGATGTATGACAGCAGAGGGGGATCCCATGGAAGCGCAACTGCAGTGCCATGCCAGAGGTTTATAACACTCTGCATGTTGCCTGCCTCATGTGAAAGTGTTGATTGGAATGACAGGGGAAGTCAAGAGTGTGTTGTAGCAATAAGAGATCAAAGCAGTCCCCAGTGGCTCAGAAATATCAAGCTGCTTTTGTCACTATTTTCCGAAAAACTTAAGGGTCAGCAGAGTATGTTGGAGGATTTGTCGTGAGGGCGTATTTGACCTAATATCACAGCGTGTCTGGAAAATGAGAGCTGGTGGCAGATTTGCACAAAGTGTGACAGGTTACTCGGTGAAGATTTCTCCACACTGCGTTGCATATGTTGAAGGTCTTTCACTCGTTGGCAGTCTTAGCTGAAGGGCTAAACGAGCTACTCAGTGTCAGCTTATTGTCGTCTCTGAGGATTTTTTCTGTTTCTGCATTAGAGTGGACATGTTATCCAGTAGCCATAAGGGACATTTCAGCCAACATGTGTGAGA